TTCATCAAAACAAAGATAGAATTATACCTATATTTGATTTTCCACTTGATGTTTATTTTGTTAAAATTAGCATTAAAAACTATCTGTACAAAAATTAAAAACTCCCTGAAACTCTAATTCATAACTTTCATACTAATCACAAGGAATGCTTTTGAGTGTGTATGTATTGCCTTGAACTGACCACAAACTGGAGGATTTTTGAAGGACTGGTCAAAGAATCATTGAATGTTCCACAATTCAGTGAACACAAATAACAGCATAATTTTAAAACAAAACTGTTTGCTGAAGACAAATTAAATGGGAAATATCTGTCAATTTTTAAAATATTTTTTTTAGAAAATCATTCACCGCAAATTATATTTTGCAAGAAATGTTGTCAGTACAAACAATTGTTTAACATACAAGACAATTACAAATTAGAAGATTTCTGCCAGTGATCAAAGTGTAAATCTAGTTGAGAGAGTAAATGGTCTGTCTCCTTTACATTACCAGTGTGTACCATAACTGTATATGGTTCGAAAAATAGAAGAATAATTAGCAGGTAAAAATAGTAGTAAAGAGGAAAGGTGGAAAGAGTTAATTAAGGCTACTTGGGTTAAGTAAGGGTTAATAAGGGGTAAATAGGAACACATTTTATGAAAATAAATGTTTTATACTTGTCAGGTTGCTTTAACTAACATCATATGTAAAAAGAAGCTCATCTCTTTGATTTGAAGATGAATGAAACAGAGTAGGTACAAAACTCTCTACCTCACATCTGAACAGTGTTTACAAACACTGTGTCAGACTGTATACCTTTTGATAGCAGCAGTTATTACAACTGCTGTATTTACACAACAACTTTTTACAGTTGGAAATTGCCTTCAAGTATGAGGGGGAGAGCAGCAGTGGGGCACAAGGATGAGGCATACTATACACACCCTGTGCATTTCAGTAGTGTTTTGTCCATTTGTAGAATTGACTAGTGTCCACAACTGGTTAAATATGTGGAATGTTTTCTTATGGAAAGGAATACTTTATGGTAAATATTAAACCAGTCACTGTATTACAATTCAAGATATATTTTCTAGCTGTATTATTATCATAAAATAATACAATTCAGCACATCTTTAGTGAAATATTGTTAAAACATATTATTGGATGATCTAACTGTGCACAAAACCATTTTACTTAATACTACTTATGTATTTTAGCATTCAGAACATTTGTTATCACAGAAAATATAGTAGTGTGGATATAACTTTTTGTGTGTGTAGAAATGACTACTTTTTTACACAGTTCATTTAGATTGTTATATCTGAAAATGAAAAAGTGTAATTATGTTTATTTACCATGGCTCCATTCAATTTGGTACACTGTACAAGTAATTCGATCTTTGGAGACATTGACAGTAGATAAGGAATGGCAGCAGGCACAATGTAGAGAGCAGTATCCTCACAAGAAGATTTTTTTTAAAACCTTCTTTAGCATGAGCCCTCTGATGTTGAGTGTGAGGATCTTCCAGTTGTTTAGGTCTCTGGTTAATCTGGGACTGAAGTCATGAAGCTTTCTTCTTAATGAGGGAGAGAACATAGTCAAATTCTTCACTTATGTTCCAGGTAAATGTCAAGCTATCCTCACAGGTATTTAAAATAAATTGGAAGAAGTGTAAAAATATGAGTTTTATTTTGCTGCATTTCATCTAATTAACATCTTAGCTGTGGGAGGTCTCCTCTAGAGCCCTGTAAATTATTGCTCATCTGCATTTTCCTTTTCCATTTTAAGATTAACTGTTACAAACATCCATAAAGTGTCATGTATCAATTTGAAGAGGAGACTTCTGTGAGCCTGTGATAACACTAACCTGCTTTATCATATCCATATAACTCACATGTGCTATAAAGAGGAATCAGGAATTGACCACAAACTATCAGGTAAGATTTCAGCCTTAAAAGTCAGTCAATCTTTCCATTTAAATCAAAGGAACATACATTTCTAAGCTTAAAGTATAACTCTACTTTTGCTGAGGAAATAAAATAAATACATACAATAAATAATAAAATAATCCTCTTAATATTAGTGATAAACATTGTAAGGATTTTAACAAAATTCATTACAGACTTTTACTTCCTTCTGTTTGGTTAAAACTCACATGTTCTTTTCATGCACTTCATCTTTTTTTGCCCTGAGAGGGAGGGTCTGCCTGCCTTAAAGGGGATGAGTGGAATAATTTCACTTAAAATGAGTTTGCTGCAAAATTAGCAATATCATCCTTGCCAAAATCTCATCAAGGGTGTAACGTGCTTGAAAAAAATGGTCTACTTTTAAGAAAACCTTTCCATGTTTTTTTTTTAAGACCTGTGACACCAACATTTTACCACTGGTGACCCATCAGTGTATATTGACATTTACCATAAACATTGACAGAAATCCCTTTTGAACTTCAATAATTTGTTGACTCAAGTATCTACTCTACATAGTAAAAGGAGCAGCACAAATGTTAGCTGTGTCTGATCAGAATTGGAAATAAAAATAGTCAGACACATCAGGCATCTAGGCATATGGTCTGCAGCATTGTTTTTTTGTAGTAAGGTGTTTGAATCCTCCTTTGGAGAATTTTGCTGCAATCCACTAGTTGTCCGCATCTAGTTTCACAACTGGACTATGTCATAACTGGCCGCCAAGCTCTAGCGAGATTTTGGTGACCATTTTAGTATATAAATAGCATGTACTAGGTAATGGGGGGAGTCCTGAATGGGAAGCAGAGCAGACAGCCACGATAGTGTAAAGCTGAGTGTTTGGTCCACATGACCACCTGGTACAATTAATGGGTCTGTTTCCTGATGACATGAGTGTCCTTTTCATGGGAAAACAGTGGAACCCGGAGCCATTATGTGAGGCAAAGGCATATCTTACATGAGGGCTTCCCTTTTGGGGGTAAGTAGGAGGACCACTAAGTGCACTAGAATAGAGACTGCACAGAGCTGTGAGTACCTATGCTGGTAAGGACTTTGTGTGAATGAGCCTTTCTGGGGAACAAACAGGACAGAAGGTTAACTCTTAAAGGAACTGAGTACCTGTGTCCCTGTGAGCCCTATACTCTCAGACCACAACCTTGTCAGTTTCACCCTCACCCTGTCCCAAACTTGGACTCCCCCTACACGTCACACTGTCACCCGGAGAAACCTTCGCCACCTCGACCCTTCTCTTCTCTACTCTGCTACTGACTACCTCTATGACAAAATCTCACCCCTGTCCTGCCCTGACCTGACTATTTCTGTGTTCAACAGCTCACTTTCATCCTCCCTAGACACTTTGGCTCCCCTCACTACACGCAGACTTAGACCACGTCCACTACAACCGTGGCAAACAAAAGAAACCAGACATCTAAAAAGACATAGTCGCACTCTTGAACGACTGTGGTGAAAAACTAGATCTCTGCAAGATTTCACCTTGTATAAAGCTGCCCTATAATTCTTTCCTCCGTGCTGCCAAACAGACTTATTTTGTTACTCTCATTAACACACTTTCATCCAAACCTCGTCAACTCTTTTCCACTTTTAACTCTCTACTATGTCCCCCACCACCTACTAACTCGCTGACTGCCCAGGACATTGCCACTCATTTCAAAAACAAAATAGATACAATTCGGGATCAGATCGCCACTGTGCAGTCACCTTCCCCTATTCATGTTCCAGACCCACCATCACACTTGTCACTCTCCTCTTTTGACCCGGTCACCACAGAGGAGGTTACAAAGCTTCTCTCTGACACCCACTTCACCACTTGCCCCCTGGACCCTGTTCCCTCACCACTACTTCGGTCACCTTCATACTCTATCCTACACTCTCTTACCCACATTTTCAATCTCTCCCTCTCTACTGGAATCTTTCCCTCCCCTCTAAAGCATGCCCTGGTCACCCCAATACCCAAAAAACCATCATTGGACCCTACCGACCTCAACAATCTCAGGCCAATCTCCTTACTGCCATTCACCTCCAAACTCATAGAACGCCTTATCTACAGCCGCCTGAGCCGCCACCTCGCTGATAACACCTTCTCGATCCCTTACAGTCCGGCTTTCGCCCCCTACACTCCACTGAAACCGCCCTCCTAAAACTCACTAATGACTTAATAACAGCTAAACACAATGGCCACTATTCCTTACTCTTGCTATTAGAACTTTCTGCTGCTTTTGACACTGTGGACCACCTGTTCCTCCTTAAGACCTACAAGACTCTGCTCTCTCATGGTTCTCCTCTTACCTGTCTAAGCGCTCCTTTAGTGTCACCTACAAATCTAACTCCTCCCCTCCTCTTCCTCTTTCTGTAGGTGTCCCCCAAGGCTCTGTTCTTGGACCCCCACTCTTCTCTATCTACACCTCCTCTCTTAGTCAGTTAATAACCACACATGGCTTCCAATACCATCTCTATGCCGATGACACTCAAATCTATCTCTCTACTCCGCAACTCTCCCCCTCAGTGTCCTTGCGTGTCACTAATCTACTAACTGACATATCTGTCTGGATGTCGCAACACTTCTTAAAACTCAACCTTTCAAAAACTGAGCTCTTGATATTTCCTCCTGCCCATGCACCTTCCCCCAACTTTTCCCTTGAGATTGTTAACACAACTATCCAGCCCTCCTCCCATGCCAAGGTCCTAGGTGTCATTCTTGACTCGGACCTCACCTGCTTCCCCACATCCAATCACTATCCAAATCCTGCCACCCTCACCTTCGTAACATCTCCAAAATATGCCCATTCCTCACCAAAGAAACCGCAAAATTACTCATCCACTACCTTGTTATTTCTCGTCTTGACTATTGCAACTCCCTCCTCATTGGCCTACCTCTACACAGGCTATCCCCCCTTCAGTCTATCATGAATGCAGCTGCTAGACTCATCCACCTAACCAACCGCTCAGTGTCTGCAACCCCCCTCTGTCAATCCCTGCACTGGCTTCCTATAGCCCAAAGGATAAAATTCAAAATATTAACAACCGCGTACAAAGCCATCCACAACTCTGGCCCCGGCTATATCTCCAACCTGGTCTCAAAGTATTACCCTAACCGCCCCCTCCGCTCTTCACAAGACCTCCTGCTTTCCAGCTCCGTCATCAACTCCTCCCATGCTCGCCTCCAGGACTTCACTAGAGTGTCTCCCATTCTATGGAACTCTCTACCCCAACCTGTCCGTCTATCTCCCACACTGACTGCCTTTAGGCGATCCCTTAAGACTCATCTCTTCAGGGAAGCCTATCCCACCTCAACCTAACCACTGAACAATCACTTTCTCAAACAATCATCCCCGCACAGCTACCTCCTCATGTATCACTTGCCCCTCCCTTTTAGATTGTAAGCCCTCACGGGCAGGGCCCTCCTTACCATCTTGTCTTAAATTGTATTGTGACTGTAATGTCTTCCTTATATTGTAAAGCGCTGTGCAAACTATTGGCGCTATATAAATCCTGTATAATAATAATAATAATACTGGTAAAGCTGTCCTTTTCTGTATTTATCTGCTCTCTTCTGTCTCCACTGGCTGCAAAAAGCATGTCAAATATTACATTTGCAGAGCTAAATGAGTTTTAACTCCAGAATGCATTACATTAATTAAGAATAATGGTAGTAACTAGGTTATGGGGAGAGAGGTAGATTCCCATGTTTCAATTCTTACACTGCCACTAATAAAATGTGACACTAGCTAAAATCAACATGTTTTGGATGGCATAGGGAAATGTTTTTACCTCTGTCTGATATTCTCTGCTATCCCTTTGTCAACTCTTTGCCAGTGTCAGAGCAGGGACAGAAAATAAGCATAATAGGGGAATCAGACAATATTTAAACTGAATAGAGATGCTAAACCTTCCTTGCTACTAAAAAGGGCAAATTTTATTGATACTTGTGCACACTGGAGAGAAAGACAATAAAAAAAGACCTCTAAATAATATATTATGATGATAATAATAAATAATAATATTTTTTTAAGGTTTATTGTTGGCTGAAGATATATTGGTGGTGCTGTATATGATTTTGGTTAGCTGAAGAAGTATGGTGTGTGTGTGTGTTTGGGATAATTTGTAAATGACCTGGGCAGATAGCTGCACTTTTTTTCAAATTAGGAAATTTCCATATAATGTACAGTTACTCTCTAAACTTCTTAGTATCTCATTGTAGATTTTTTTCATGGATTCTAGCCCACTACAGCCCCATTAATAATTAAATATTTATCTGTATAACATATGAGCATTAGGGATGAGGGAACATGCTTACATTTGGTTAATGGGCTATTCATTGAACCCCCCATAGTTTCTGAAAATTCAGGAACTTCAATCTGAACCCATTAGAAGTCAATGGGGGGCAAATCATTTTGGCCACTTTCCAAGATGAAAGGAATTGTCAAACAAAGAGCATGATTAACTCGGCATTGCCATTGAGGACATGTACCAATGCAAAAATAAATTGTAAAAAATACTGTTTAGCAGGCAGAGGTCCTCTTTTTATGTGACTTTCGAGGCAACATAGAAAAAACATCAATACTTTGAATTACATACTTGTCCTTTAGCTGTATTTAGTGTTAGAGAACAGTAACATTATCTCAGGGTCAGCAGTGTCAGTGACAGTGTCAGCATCATGGTCACATAATCTACACATGTAGTTGATCTTTTTCCTTTTACATTATTGCTTGGCTTAAATACAGCAACAGCCCTGTCTTACTCATTATAACTTTTAGAAAATAGGGTTTTTAGGCATTATTGTCTGCGACAGCTGATATTTTTATACAGTGGTAGTAGACTTGTATTAAAAGTAGCAGCTACAACAGATCTGAAAGCTATAGTAAATTGGACTCTTAAAAAATTAAAACTAAAGCCGTCATACAAAAAGTTTGATAGTATATATTGTGAGCTTTCTTTCACACTACCGCACAATTTTTCCTAAAAGTTTAAGGAAATTTCAAAGCAAAACCATAACATCACATTCCTCAAACCTCCTCCCAATTATTCCCGAAATATCAAAATTTTAGACTTCAGGTATGTGTTTTTGCGCCTTAAGTGCGCACGTTTCCGTGTGTATGTCCTTTGTGCGCATGCGCCGTAGCGCACATTTTTCAGTTACCCATAAAATGTGGCCATGCACCCAGCGTAGTGGTGCTTGGTACCTTACAACTGTATCCACAATGCAGTTTCCTCAAAAAACACTACACTCAAGTGAGTGATACATTAAAGTGATACATATCTAAAGAATGTAATAAAGTCTCGACATAGATACAATCTCGTGATTATCGCAAATTGTATGTGTATATAAATGAACCGCTGTAAAATAAACCTATAGACAATATAATAATCTATGAAGTTGTCAGTGTCATAATGAATGTCCTTAAAAATAAATAAACATATTGAAGAATCCATACATGAAGAAATAATGTGCACCATGTTTTTACACGACAGATAAGGTCTGTACTCACCAGATAGCTGTTATAAACTCACTTTAAGGTATATCAGAATGTTGGTCTGCCTCTCAATGCTGGTGACGTTCAGCAGAAATACCTCCTCTGACTTTTAGCAGATATGGATACGCAACTTTTCAACTTCAGATCTCCTCGTATAGAAGGTACAGAAACGACCAAAAATGGCTCAAAGGGAATAAATGAGGATACTCATAGTGCAGCAAGTCTGATAAAAAAACTTTATTACAAAGATTAAAACTACTCACAAGAGACAAGCATCAAATCGCATGCAAACACTGCACCGCTGTCTATGTGCAAGACTGGGGTTTAGTGATCTCAACGTACACCCACTCGTCTATGCGTTTCTTCTTAGGACTTCATTGGGACAGTGTGCAGGTTGAGAGTTACTAACTATACCTTATAAAGGTTAGACCAGAACACAACCTTAATTTGTTCATGTGATTCCAATTTGAACAAATATTATTAACCCAATCATAGCAATTTAAACAGGATCTTCCCATACAAGAGTCCCCAGATAAAATACAATGGAACTACCATAAGTACCAAAACCAAAGCAAAAAGAAATATTAAATTGTATAATAAAATGTTAATAACATTAATACATATACCTTTGGGATTTCAATGCATGCATGTACAACACATAAATGCACAATATAAATGCATATACACCTTAAACTGGCATAACCCACACACCTAAAATGGGATGTGTCATCATGTTCTATTAAGATACCTGAACATATATGTCCCAATAAGCTAAATACTTTGTGAAGGAGGTGATAAGAACATGTGTAAAGGGGGTATATTAATTGTTTGTGAAAAAAAAACAATTTAAATCGAATTCCACATTCAATCCTTTTGGTTTCAGAGTATTGAGGCTAAAATCCATCTGGACTAATTTTGTGATATTTTTTCCTTTACTTACTCCCTCTCCAATGTTTGTTCACCTTATTTATAAAATAAGGTAGGAGTCTTTCTCGTGGTATTCTGCCCTAAGAACACCACGAGAAAGACTCCTACAGTACAAGGAGAAGAAAAACCCAACCAGGACCCCTCTTGTAGTTACCTACAACCCCACTTTAGAATCATCAAAGATCTACAGCCAGTACTCTCAGAAGACCCCATGCTTCAAGAAATTTTCCCTCAGCTCGCAATACTTTGAAGCAACCACTGAACCTGAGAAGAAGATTGGTACGCAGTAAACTTATCCCAGAAAAGGAACGGACACAGAATGGCGCAGTACAATGCAAAAAAACCTGCTGCAAACTTTGCCAACATATATGTGACAAGAATACAGCGAGTCACAACAACAAAATGTACACCATTAAGGGATCATACTCGTGTACATCTGCTAACGTGGTTTCAGGGCCATCTTTGATATTGATTGGCCCCTGGGCAAACATTTTATTGGGCCCCCACCAAGCCAAGCCCGCTAACTGCCATGCAGTTTCTCTCTCCACCTCAACATCCTAAATCAATTTATTTATTTTATATTTTTTTTTAAATGATGGGCCCAGTAACTTAAGGAGTGTGACAATCAGCCAGCGCTGCAGATATATAAAAAATATATCTGCGGTGCTCGCTGATTGTAACACTCCTGCAGTTACTGTTTGTGAATCACCCCCCTCTGCGGCATTCACAAAGTCCGATAGAAGTGACATTTCAGACCGATCAGTTGTTCTAGGCAGATATGATCGGTTCTCTTGCACTTGCACAGTATGCCGATCTGCCCTGGAATAGCCGACAAAGCGTTGGAATGCTTGACCCAATAGGCAGTCACACATTCCATCACTGTCAAACTGAGCGGGATTATGTTGTAATGTGTGACCACGTCACCGGTCACACATTCCAACGTAGTCACAAACTTTGATAAAACACCCACTCTGTCACTTGCAAATGTGTCCCCTGAGTAGTATCCAGTAGTGTGGGAGGAGCAGGACACTGAGGCTCTGTCTCTCTCCAAAGCACAGGGATCAGAGCCTATCATGAATGCCTAGACCAGCCGGCCAGCCCATCTGCATCATCAGTTGCTAGGCAGACAGGGGGCTGATTAAAAAAAAGGTCCTGATCTTCTGATCTCTGCTGCCTGTCTGCAAGGGGATCAGAGTCTGTTATTGAGCCTGTGATCCCCGTGCTCTCCCAACTCATCCTCTTGGTTTACTTAATCTCTCCCCCCTGCTGTTACTTGCAGACAGGCAGCAGATCGGGAGATCAGGACTTTTGTCTGCTCTGCCTAGCAACTGATGACATGATGGGCGGGCCGGTGTACGTAATTATGACAGCTCGCCCATCAGCATCATCAGGGCAGACAAAGGGACTAGGCAGAGCAGACAAAGGTCCCCTTTGCCGATCTCTGCTGTCTGTCTTATATCTGGAGAGATAAGGGAAACCAGGAGGGTGAGGGGGAGAAGAGACGGGACACTGACATCCTGCATCTCCAGGTAGGGAGCGAGCAGTGCAGGCTCAAGGGGCAGCTGCTTTGGGCCCCACAACAATGACTGAGCCTAGGGCAACTGCCCCTTTTGCCTGCGTTAAAGACGGGCCTGGCTACAGTGGTTGCTGTATTCAT